TATATATATATATATATATATATATATTTTTCACCGGCTATTTTTAGTTGAAGCGGACAAGAGCGATTATTTGGGTTAATTCTTCCTTTGAAATTGCCATAACGTGTATGAGTTTTATCACTTAGCATGATTATAAAAAGGAATTTTTACTTCAATATATGATAATTAATGTGAAATTAAATATGGGTATTAATTTATTTATTTATTGTTGGGACCATCTATGTCAATTATTATTAAGCATAAGTGGGACGGAGAGTAATGTTTTAACGTTGGAGGGGGTGGGGGGACATGACAAGTGACTTATGGAGGAAAAGGTATGATGGTCCTTAATTCGGTCATGGTATTTTAAGAGGACAACAATGATAAAGTATGTAAGCATGCAACGTGACAAAATCATGACTCAAAAGTGTTTTGGTTTGAATATGTAATATCCAAATAATAAATTGAGATTATATTCTATTTCCTGATTATTTATTTTTCTGGTACGAATTTTGTCATAGGATTTACATTATACTATTTCATGTTTTGAATTACACAATAAATGTTTTTTAATTCAAAATTTTAAGCATTAGGATCTTACAGTAGTTTTAGGAGTTATATCTCAACTTAATAAATAAAACGATAAATGTATGGAACCGGCGTTCGTACCCAAATATTTAAAGCTAAACTCCATCTAATATGAAGATCTCTTCTGTACTTTTCAAAATAAGTGGGGGTAGCTAAAAGATTTCTCTTCTTAAATAAGAAACCATATTACTCTCTTTGTTCACATTTATTTGTCCACTATATTAAAAATATTAAAAAAACTAAACTCAAAGTAATAATATGAAACAAAAAAATAGACAAAAGATGTTGAGAGTAGGAAAGAACTTTCTTATTTCATCAAGTGTTTTCTAAGTATTTACAATATCACTTCTCATTCTTTATTTATAGTATAACATAGAGGTATACAAAAGAATGCCATAAATATTTGATATCATGGAGGAAGATTATTGGGGAGGTTATAGAGGTAGGAGAGTTACAACCATAACTCCATAAGTACTGGAGTAGTGGAAGTTATGGAGATAATGCAGAAGAGTAGTGGGTATTACTCCTTTATGAGTTATGGACATCCACCATTAGATAATTTATATAACACTCCCTTTTGGATGTCCAAAAATAATGTGCCTTGTTAACACCTTATTAGAAAAAAATCATGTGCAACAAAAAAAAGTTCTAGTAATGGAAAAATGGTACACATATTTAATAATACGTATTGCTTGCTGCCTCATTAAAAATCTTGCCAGGAAAATTCAGTGGGATAAAACCTTCGGTAAGGGAAAGAGTGCATCGCGTGCTATATTCCCCCTAACAAAAATACCACTTGATATCTCGGATATGATGAATTCCAATCTAGTATTACAACTTCTCAATTGCTTGAGGTTGGCAATGCCTTGTGAAGAAGTTTGCCAAATTTATCACTTGAACAAAATTATTGAACATCGGTCATGTCTGAAATAAAAATTTTGGTGAAATATGCTTTACTTTGTCTCTTTTGGTAGTCCTTCTTTGTGATGACCCAAAAGGCCATCACTTGCTTTTAAATTGAATTATGTGTTTTCGAGGCCTTGAAAACCTCATTTAGCGTCACTTCGATTTTCGTGCGCAGTCCGGGCGCGTAGCCGAAAAGCTTAAAGATGAAAATCTGTGAAAAATGATAAAATTTGGCTATAAAATGAGTTAATTTGACTTCGGTCAACGTTTTGGGTAAACAGACCCGAACTCGTGATTTGACGGTCCCGGAGGGTCCGTAGGAAAATATGGGACTTGAGAGGATTTTCTTTCCGTATGTCGGAGAAAGTACCTCACCCCCACCTTTCTACATTTATTATTATATAGAATTTCCCGTAGAACAAAATGTGAACTCTCTCTCAGGCCTTTAACCTTACGCGTTCGCGAGTGCTTGGACGCGTTCGCGAAGGCTATTCCCCTCTCAGCCTCGCGTTCGCGTCTTAGACTTCGTGTTCGCGAAGAAGAAATCTGGCACTTGGGAGATTTGTCTTACGCGTTCGCGAGTGGGACCATGCGAACGCGAAGAACAAAATTTGTGCCCGGAAATCAGATTCCGAGGTCCCAAACACAAGAAATGAATTTTTTAAAGAAAATTATTTTCTGAAACTGTTTAAAGAAATTTAAAATGAAATTTGATTAGAACATGATGGTATCGGGCCCGTATTTTGGTTCCGGCGCTCGGTACATATCTTATATATCGTTTAAGATGTTTTTGTGGAATTTGGTGAAAAACGGATGTCATTTGACGTGATTCGGACCTAAATTGCCAAAGTTGATGTTTTAAGAAGTTTGAAAAAAATTCTTTGATTTTGAGGTTTAATTCATTATTGAGGTTATTTTGGCGATTTGATCGCACGGATAAGTTCGTATGATGTTATTGAGTTAGTACGTATGTTTGGTTAGGAGCCCCGAGGGCTCGGGTGTGTTTCGGAAAGTTTGGACTTAAGAAAAATTGTAGAAAATAGCTGATCTGGTGTACTGATGCTTTGTTCTTCGCGTTCGCGGGTGGGTCCTCGCGAACGCGATGTGTTAATTATGATGAAGGAATTTCCTTCTATGCGAACGCATAAACCAGGTCGCGAACGCGAAGCATTAGGGGGTTTTCCCTTCGCGAACGCGGGCGTGGTATCGCGAACGCGGTCCTGGTATTGCGAACGCGAAGGCTTACAGCTTGGGCTGGGAAGGGTCACCACTTTATGCATGGGAACGCGGCCACTAGCCCGTGAACGCGCAGGCTTGAAGAGCCAAAGCTCAGCGAATGCGAGCCGTCTTCCGCGAACGCGAAGGTCTGTATGACCAAACTCATCGCGAACGCGATGGGCTTATCGCGAACGCGATAAACAAATTCGCCCAGTTATTTTTAAGTCTCAAAAACAGAACACTTACGGGATTTTTATAAATTTTCACAAACTTCATCTTCTCCACACCTCTTGGGCGATTTTTGAAGAACTCCTTCACCATAACCTCTTAGGTAAGTAATCTTTAACTTGTTTCCTTCCATTTTTATCAACACCTACTAGATTTCTAGGCCTAAAACATGAGATTAAGGGTAGAAAATTAGGAATTTAGGTAGAGTTAGGGCTTTTTGATTATTTGGGAATTTGACCTCGTTTTGGGGTCGAATCAAAACAAATTATATATTCGGGCTCATGGGTGAATGGGTGATCGGGTTTTGGTCTAAACCTCGTGTTTTGACCAAGCAAGCCCAGGGTCGATTTTTGAATTTTTGGGAAGAATGATTGGAAAGCTATAATTAGGCATTGGAATTGGATTGTTTAGCATTTATTGATGTTATGAAGTCGAATATGTATAGATACCGTTGATTTGGAGCCGAATCCGAAAGGAAAGGCGGTGTTTGAGGCTTGAGTTGGCCGTGGAAGTTCGAGGTAAGTGTTTGGTCTAACCTTAGCTTGAGGGATTAGGAGTTGTGTCCTATTTGCTAATTGCTTCTTGTTGAGTGCGACGTATAAGCATGGTGACGAGTATCTATACGTTGGTGTCGAGCATGACCGTGAGTCTTAAATTGATAATTGTTATGTTCTTAAATGATTACGGATGTTCTGATTGGTGATTCTTGATGTTGAGAAAGACTTTAGTTTAATTACATGGAAATTAATTAAGGTTGAGTATTGGTGTTAGCTGAGATGAGTAGGGATTGAGTTGATATTGGTTATAGCTGATTCTCCCTTTGCCGGGACGTATATACTTTACCATTGAATTCCCTTGCCGGGATCGTGTATTTTATTGTTAATCCCTTGCCGGGATAGTGTAGTTTATTGTTGATTCCTTTCCCGGACTCGTGGTACGATTGAGTTTAAGGTATACAAATAAATTGGATCGGGTTGCACGCCGCAACAATGTTATATATATTGGATCGTGTTGCACGCCGCAACAATGTTATATATATTGGATCGGGTTGCACTCTGCAACAATGTTATATATATTGGATCGTGTTGCACGTCACAATTATGTTAGATATATATTGGATCGGGTTACGCGCCGCAACAGTGTTATTATTACTTGTTGTAGATTTTGAGTTGTTTCTCTCATATTTCCCTTTATTTCTGCTGGATTTGATATGTTCCCCGAAGCATGTACCCCCTCCCATTTAAACTACTATTCCTGTTTATTTTTCGCCGTATATTATGTAATTGCACAGGTTTATCTAGAGTTTTGTCCTAGCCTCGTCACTACCTCGCTGGGGTTAGGCCAGGCATACTAGCACATTGGGTCGGTTGTGCTGATACTACACTCTGCACCCTGTGCAGATACCGAAGCAGCATTGGGACAGTAGCACGTGGGGAGCCAGCCTTTAGTCCACACAGATCCCGAGGTAGTCATGCAGGCGTCCGCAGGCCCGACGTCTCTTCTATCTACTTATATGTTCTGTTTTTATTTGTATCCGAGACAGACTGTATTTCTTTTCTTCAGACATTTGTATGTAGTATTCATAGACAGTCCATGAATATTGTGACACCGCTTTCTGGGTAGAGACGCATGTTGGCATTTTCATATTTATTTTGGTGTTATATTAGCCTAAGTCTTCCGCTACTATTTAAATGTTGCTCACCCGTTATTACAAGTTGTTAAAAAGGATTAAAATGAAAGAGTTAAAATTTCTAAATTTCTTAGCTTGCCTAGCTTCTACGAGTAGGCGCCATCACGACTCCCGAGGGTGGGAAATTCGGGTCGTGACAAGTTGGTGTTAGAGCTCTAGGTTACATAGGTCTCACAATTCACGGACAAGCATAATAGAGTCTGAGGGATCGGTACAGAGACGTCTGTATTTATCCCCCAGAGGCTATAGAGTTAGGAAAACTTCACATTTGTTATTTCTTGTCGTG